TGTCTCTATTGGAGCGGAAGGTTTCTGCTAAATTCAAGGAGAAGTCCCATAAATCACAACAATTGTCTGTTTCAGAAATTGTCGACGGCAACGTTAAAATGACTCTAGGTCTCATTTGGACGATCATTTTGCGCTTTGCTATTCAAGACATCAATGTCGAAGGTAAGCTCGCTTATTTTAATCATCGCATTGAATTGAAGTACGATGGCGTATCTCTTTACAACATTTGGGATAGAAGCACTCACTTTCTAGGCTACTCACAAACAATTCCTGTGCTGACATCCACTTTATTCTTGATATTTATCGTGTATTATAAATAATTTCAGCAAAGAAACAAAATTTGTTCAACCAATTTTTAAATTCCTGCAAATTAGTAATAGTTTACAATTGCAGAATTGTCCGCTCGCGATGGTCTCCTGCTTTGGTGCCAGCGAAAGACAGCCCCATACAATAATGTGAATGTGCAAAACTTCCACACTTCCTGGAAGGATGGTCTTGCTTTCTGTGCACTTATTCATAGGCATAGGTAAGGATGCATGTTCTATCAGTTTATATACAGTTTTGGGAATGGCATCTTCATAGTAAAGTTTGCAAGCACTTTTTGTTACAAGGCACTAAATAGCTTGATCGTATACGCATCATTCACAAACAGCAAAACCCTTGTTGTGGAGTATTTTTCTATTTTCCGCTTAAAGGGCAGGCGGAATTTGCATATTTTTGATATATTATTACTAAGTTAATTACTCACTTAATTGCTCCAGATTTCAGTAAACAGTTGCAGTTTATATTATTGCAGTAGTTGCAAAAGTATGGTATCCTTGCAATACACTAGAGGCGTGACAGTAACAAAGGCCAACTATACCGTGGTTGATTGGATATGACAACCAAGCCTAACTGCGTTTGATTTGATTTGATTATTTTAAAAGGAGCTCTATCCCTAAGTTACTACATAAGTGCAACTGTAATTCCCGCATAATAGAAGCTGTTCATAGAGTGAGAAAAAAGTTAGTTGAGAAAATTAGGCATATAGCAGGAGGAATGCTTCCGTACAATCAAACATATGGTCAGTCTAAGATTAGCGTTGGTTCGCATGGGGTTCGCCGAAATAATCATCATACTTCATATCTACTTGCTACATTCAAACAGGCTAAAATATAA